CGGATCTTCCTATCCTTAAAAAAAATTAAAAGTGAAGGTAAATATTTATATATGTCAATATATATAATTGATATAGTTTTGATAAATAGTATTTTCTTTTATTTGCATTTTTTTTCAATATTATAATGTTCAAGCCCAAGCTCTTTCTAGAATGGAGTGCTAAAAATATTTACTATACTAACATATTTGCTATATGTGTTATTATCAACTCAATTCAAGTTGCACGTGTTAGTTTGGTGGTGCTAACCAAGCTGCCACTTTTGGGTCGCACACAAAAGACTTAAGCCACAAACTTGGACACATAACAAATATGATTAATTTTGTTATTAATCTGCTTTCTATGCGCTATTTCTTGTAAAAATTTTATTAAAATGAATTTGGTAATTAAAACTTAATATGCTATTCTATTTTTATTACCAAATTCTTTGCATGTGTATAATGGGAGCTATAGCTCTATAATTTATTGATATGCAATACAATTTTTTAATAATAACAAAATAATATTCAATTATTTTATTTTATTTATATATATATATAATTTTTTTTTGACGTGTTGAGTTATATGGAAGACGCTTAATTTTTGTATATTTTTTCATCAAAATTTTTCTTTATTGAAAGTACAGTTTTATTAAATATAGATTGACATTTTTAAAGAAGATTTACGTTGTTACTTCTTTGGCTTATTGCCCAACAAATTTTCTACGCGCTTTTGTTCAGTTGAAATTTTGATCCCAAAAGAGTTTTGCAATTATTGGCCAGGTATCAACCAAGCTCCACCAATTTTTTCAGCTCGCCAATGATACAGGTATGTAATCAAGCATTGGTTAACCACCTTTTATTTTTAGTAATTAATTTATGAAATTTTTTGAAAATTCAATTCAGGCTCCGGAGTTATGGAGGACCATTGGTCTTCGATGGCTAAACCTAACCAAGATCCCAAAGTTAATTTTTCTAATTACCATTGCCACTCAGCGGGTAATATCAACCTGCTAGCCTATGACTCGAAATAAATGCAAATCATAAAAAACTATAGATCGTACGGAAGTGACTTAGAATAATCTGAAAACCCCTTAATTTGTTGGAAAAACTTAAGCACACACACACACCAAGTTTTGTGCCAATTCTAAGTACGTGTATATAACTCTGGCCACGGTAACCAATCGGAGGCGGCTCAGTATAAACTGTAGGTCTCTCCAGTTGTTGAAAAAACCGCACAACTTAAAATATAAAATATATAACGAAGTAACGCAATGCTCATTAATTAAAAAATCAAACATACTACGTTACTAAGAAAATAGAATTGTCGCATTACGAAGTGAAAGTGTTTGTTAAACATATTAAAAGAAAGTCATATCACATTTATATGAGCTTTAATTGTACAAGACAATTGTAAAGAAATAAAAAGTTGCTCAGGTAAAAATGCAATTAATTTATATGTAATAGAGAGCGATCATAAATTAAACTTAAACTTATTAAAATAATTATAATATATAAAACTTTGATATTATGAATGAATTAATTTTTAATAAATATTACAAAAAAGAGAAAATAAGTGAAAAAGGCATAAAATTATTATTATAATTTTTTATAAAAAGTATGATATTATAATAACTTTTTATGCCATATTTTATAGTTTCGTCATAATTTTGAGTATTATTATTTGTTCAAAAAAGTATTTTTAACTAACAAATGAATTTTTTTAAATTTCATTAAATTATATTAATTTTATTCATTTTAAGTTCATTTCAATTTTTATGTAAATAATGGTTTTATTTCTAAATGTTTTTAATTTACATACATATTTTTTGTACTACTTTCACTAAAGCTCCTCCATAAAAATTAATTGTTCATATTTTTAGCAAATTTTTTTAAAGAAATTTTAAAATTGTATTGAGAAAAAGTTCTGGTTCGACACTAAAATCAGAAAATTATTTTCATAATAATATATTATTATAGATTAGATTACTTTATCTTATACTTATTTGTTTGGCTTTAATTAATTTCTAAATATTTATTTTTGGTTAAAAAAAATTAATTAATTAAAATTACCCATTTTATTTTCTTTACTTTTGAAAACGGTTTTTCATATGAAAATTTAATAACATTTTAATTCGCTCAAAATAAATGTTGAATTCATGTAAAATCATCAAAAAAAACTATTGTCTTTATGTGAAAAAATATTTCAACATTTATTTTTAAGTTATTATAAAAATTATAAAAATTTTAAATTTATGATAGATTCTTTATTAGGAAATAAGAAAAAAGATATAAATATTGCAAAAATACATATGAAAAAAATTTAATAAACAAAATGCAACAGTTTTATAGCGTTCGAGAATTAACGCTTTAAATTGAAAAAAATAATATCAATAATTAAATACATAAACAATATCTCATTGACTTTTTTCTTGAATGTAAAAATAATAGTCATCTTTATCTAACTAGAAAACCCATCTAAAAATAATAAAGAAAGTTTTTCTATATAAAAAAAGACTCTATCTATTACAAACAACTATCAAAAATAAATATTATCACAAACACTTATCAACAGTCTTCTGAAAAAAAGCATTTTGAATGAATTCCACATTTTTCATTCATAAATTTAACCAGCATAAAAATCCTTTCTCTGAAAAATCGCAACCCAAATGCAAAGTCATGATCAACACATTTTAAGCAAAAAATAAAATATTGCTCATCACAATCACTTCCTGCAAAGAAAAGTGACACCTGTGAGTTACCAAATCAACTACTCAAAGTCACTTAACACGGAGCACATGCGCTAAAATATTCATGACCAAAACACTGGAGAATTTGCAATTTCCCAACCAGGTGGCACCTGTGGCGCATGAGTACATACATAAATATTTTTGGTTTTAAGCCACGTGATTCTTAAACTGCTTGCATGACGGAAAAACTACAGCGAGGCAACAAGAAAAAAAAACTGAAGCACGATTGTTGCACCCCTTGTCGTATATTAGCAGCAAGTGCAACCAACCAGAGCAAGCAAATAAAATGCAACAGCGACTGTATCCGATTTCCACAGCAGCACTTCCCGACGAGACCGGCTACAAAACACAGATGACTTGGTGTAGTAGAAGAAGTGGAAACAAAAACCTTGCGATTAAATGTGGTTTACTGCCTCAAAGGCAGGCGGGCACTCGCAATCGTTGAAATAAAGTGTAAATGTGTTGCAATATTATTTATTATCATTACGCTTTATTGTTCTTGTTTTGTTCAAGACTTTTTATGTTGTAGAGAATCAAAATGAAACTATTGTGTATGCTTATATTCAATCAAGAGTTCAGTGGCAATGTGCCCGCCTTGAACTTGAAATCACACCAATTGCTATAAGCTAAAAAAAAATGCAACTCTGGCGCTTTGCCATGCTGCAGCAACTTTGCGCATGCGGCACACCTTCAGTTTGGCTTCCTTGCCAGACTATGGTCCATTGAAATGTTGAAGCTCGGCGTGGCTGTTTTTTACCATATCGAATTTCTGTCGTTCACAAGTTCAATATTTTTTTCTTTAATTTTTTATTTACTTGATTTTTATTTTTGCAAGTCAAGCCTGTCATTTTTATAATAGAATAGTGTGGAAGTGTTGTAATAAAATCTAATATTTTTAATGAATGAAAAACCAAGTATTTATTGCATTATTTCAATGCGTGGCACATGGTGACAGATGCTGAACGTAGCTCAAGTTAAGTGTCAGAGACAATGCTAGAACTTGAACAAAAAAGTAAATAAAATAAAAAAAAAATTAAATAAAATAAAATGAGAAAAAAACAAACAAATTATATGAAATAAAATAAAATAGAAGGAAATAAAAAATAATACTTGAAATAAAATAAAATAAAATAAAATAAAATAAAATAAAATAAAATAAAATAAAATAAAATAAAATAAAATAAAATAAAGTAAAATAAAGTAAAATAAAATGAAATAACATAAAATAAAATTAATATTATAAAATAAATTAAAATAAAATTAATATGATCTAAATTAAATAAAACGTAATAAAGAAAATAAAACTAATTAAAAAAAATTAAAGACAATAATGTAAAATCAAAGACAATAAAATTATATTGAACTAAATTAAATTAAATAATTTAATAAACACCAAATTAAACTAAACTTAAAAAAAAATATATTGTAAAGTTTAATAATATCGAAAAAAATAAGAAAAGTCAGCTAATTGAAGTAAGCTAACAGTAAACTAAAGTTATTTAAAGCCAGCTAAAGCCAAATCAGTGAAATAATGTAAAGTAATCTAAAAACTAAAAATAATGAGTAAATTAAAGTATATTGCAATAAAATTAAATAAAATATTTAAGTCAAATTAAATTATAATAAATAAAATTAAATCAAGTGTAAGGAATTAAATTAAATTATATTAACTTAAATTTTATTAACTCAATAAAATTAAAAAACAAAATAAAATATTATAGAAAAATATAAATTAAAAAATTATTCAAAATAGTTTTATATCAAATAAAATAAAATTAATTAAGCAGAAAAAAATTAAGTAAAAGAAAAGAAAAAACTAAGAGGAGCTTAAAAAAATAATGGAAAAAATAATATAAAATAAAACAAATGAAAAATAGACCAAATTACTGTTAGAAAATCAGTTAAAATAGCAAAAGTTTGTTTATATATATTTTTCTAAATATTTAGTATTGTTAATTTATGCCGAGCTTCAGAAAGCAGTTTTGTATTATGATGCTGTATAGCATAAACATATTTTTTATTAAAAACAAAAATTTCCTTTATTTTTCCTCAAGTATGAAGTTTTGAAATGTTCCTGCAATAATGGATAATCTAAAAAATTTTCACACATTTTTTTGAGAAAAAATTTCGAGTTTCCATGAATTTTTGAAACTCGCTTCAAACTTCTTTAGTTTCTTCTGAAGCCGGATTTAAGAAAAAGCATGAGATTTTAAACTTTTTTCGAAGTGAATTGTAAATCTTTTAATTAACATTTTTCTGCAAACATCAACTCACCTATATTTTGTGCATCGATGCGCGCGTGATAACCCAACAAGCTGATGATCACAAGGATCAGCTGAGTGCGTATATGGGGCATTGCAGTTTTACTGTTATTTACAATTGTTGGATTCTTAAGCACCTGCTGCTACTGCTTAACACTTCATTCGTTGTATAAATAAAATGCTTTTAAATTATAATTCCTTGGGTTGTTGATGTTAAAAAAGTTTCGCTAAAATTATTTTTGTTATTTTCTGAGTTTTTCTAGCACTAAAATCATAAAATAAAATTTCAAATTAATTAAAATTAAAGAATAAACACTGATAAACACATAAGGGTCAATAGCATGTTTTTAAGCGCGTAAAATGGGGCTGCTTTGCTCTGTTGCAAAAAAAAAAAAAACAATTAAAAGTCCACTTTTAATGCCTACGCTTTCGACATTTGTATTTCGGTATTGTATTTTAAATTTTGTTAATTGAGAAAAGAGATTATGTTGAATTTTTCTGTGCAGTACACACTCAGTACTGCCAAAGTGCACCGTAACAAATTCTGTGTCAACTTGTTTTTTGCAACTAATTTGTTAAGTTGTTCTTATTTTTAATATTTTTATGTTGCTTTGCAGCGTTCTGTTTTTATATTTTTTTTGCACTCACACACACACACACACTACCTACAATGCCATAACTTTATTTTTTATGTTTTTTCTTAGTTCGAATAAAGCTGACGCGAACAGGTGAAGTTGGCGGCTGCAAAAAAAAAACTTGTAGTGGTAAGTATGTCACCGTTACACGCAGTCGCGACTCAAATACGAACAGCACTAACAAATGTTGCTACAACAGCAACAATAAAAACAGTGGAAATAGCAACAGTGAGTGGAAGCTTCAGCGCCTCTTTTCATTTTTTGTAGTTGTTGTTCTGCTTGCTGCCGCCAAGTTTCACGTAAACCAACTTTCTTCAAAACGCGACGCGAGGTAGTGTTAGTATTTATTTGTAATATATTTAGTTTATTGCAAATTGTTTTCAAATATTAATTATTTTTTAATTTTTGAGAATTGTTAAAACATATATTTGCTCAATTTGGTTTTTTGTCTTTTAAGCAATTTAAATACTTTGCCTGAAAAATTTTAACTCCCCAGATTTTTTCTAAGATTTTTTACTATTTGATTCTTATGTTATTATATTTTTAATTTTGTACGTTGAACACGGTATAGACATTTTATTTATTTTTTTTTTTTGGTAAAATGTTAACTATTATTTTTTTTACTTTAAATATATTTGGTCTTTTAAATATTTTGCTTAAAAGTTTTAAATTCCAAATTTTTTAACAATATTTTTTAACTAGCTTTTTGAAGATTGTGTATTTTTTTTTTGGGATTTCTTAATTTTTTTCAAATTTTTCATTTTTTATGTCTCTAATTATGTTTTTTTAATTGCTTAAACTTTTTGTTCTCATATTTATAATTTTCTTATTTTATATTAGCTTTTAATTTTTTGATTTTTTTAATCAATTTAACTTTTACATAAAAACACCAATTGCATATTTAATTCGTTTACTACACTTTCATTGATTTATATTTTAAGAATTTCAAACGCCAGTTTCTTTTAATGTTTATTTGTTCAATTAAAATTATTTACAGCGCCTGCGCATGCGCAACCGTTCATTTGTCTCGCACGACTAAATTCAACAGCAAAGCGCCAACAGCGCGCTAACTACATTTTTTTGTAACTTTCAACTTCAGTTTATTGGCTAGCAACGCGAGCGTGTGAGTATCGTCTCTCTTGTTTTTACTCTACCTCTCTCAAATGCAGCTAACGCAACAGCTGCTAGCGTAACGTACCGTTTACTAACGTACGACCGATAAACGACGAACGCACAGGAAATCAGGAAAATAGTGTTCAATACGAAACGGAAATGAATAAACGGAAAAAACGTCGATAAAAGTCACGCGCTTAAGTGGTTCCACACAACCGTCGCGTTTAGGTGGTTCAAGTCAACTGAAAGCCACTGTAAGCTGCAAGTTGCCAGCGTACTTACTAAATGCTCATTGACGGTAGGTGTATGCCAAAACTGGGCATTCATCAGCTCTCTGCTGACAGGTTTGAACCAGAGAACTCTCTGTTTGAACTACGACTTTTGTTGCCATCAAACATGTTGCTAGTCTCACTCATTTGCTCGCCACCTAAAGCTACGCCGAGTACCGCGGCTCGTTTCACTTGCTCAAAGCATTTCCTAAACTCGCTCTCTCTCTCTCTCTCTCTCTTTCTCTCACTTAGAGCTGAAATACAAAGTATGGCTTAGCTTGCGGCTTTAACCATTTTGAACAATTATTTGTCACATTTTGTTTATTTAAGTATTTTTTTTTGCATCTAATGCAATTTTTCCGCTTTGTCACTCGATTTTGTTTTTCGTTCATTTTCTCAGTGCGCCAATTTTGCAGGCAACGCAACCGCAAATTTGTCTATTTTTGAAGTGAAGTGCTTTTGTTTTAATTTTTTGTTCACTTTTCAACTCTATTTATCTCAATTTTTTTCGCTGATTTCATTTATCTCAGTTTTTCTTCATTCACCAAATGCTTTCTTCAGTTGCAGCTCTTTTGGCTTAAATAGTTTGGCAACAATATTAATTTCATTTGGTCTTTGTGGAAATCGTTTTAAGTGGTTTAATCCAATAATTCGCACAAAGTGACGTTGGAGTATTTTATTAACGGTGTTACTTTGTGCACAGAAAGATGCTGCAATACAAGGCTGCGTTTGGGTGCTTGGGTGGTTGGGTAGTAAGACGGTTTAATCGCAAGTGACGATGTGGATTAGGTGACTAGTTTGCTTGGTGCCAATTGAACTACTTTTGATTGAGTTTGCGGCTGAGGAATTGAAGCGTTTATTTACTTTTAATATTTGCGTAAAAGAAAAAAGATTTCTGAAAAGGTTTTTAGGCTACGATTTATCTCAAGCAACTTATCGAAAGTGGTCGGTTTCAGTGCTGAGTTAGATATCAGCTACCGATTTTACCAGTGTGAGGCATCAAAAATGGCATGTTTCTTGGTTGGCTGATAAAGAAAATTTGAGGACTCGAATAAGCCCGTGATTGCGCCTTACGGCTAGACCACGTTACGTTGTGGGTGAACTGCTGGGAATTGGCAAAAAATAGCGTTTCAGCGTTTCGTCAACATCTTTGCATGCTCTGCCCACAAGCGATTTCACTTTATTGAGCTTTTAGAGTTAATATCTATGAGGCAGATGCTCCGTGAATACACCCATAAGCTCTTTTTTGTCTAATTCAAGTAATAATCTAGTGATACGTCCCACTTTGCATGTCTGGCAAGACTTTAAGTGTAACTCTACATTCCAATGTTTTAAACAACATTTGAGGGCGCTGACGGGTGGGGAAGTTGATGGTGATAGCCTCACCATTTTTCTCTTCTTTTGAGGCTCTAAGGCAGACATGGAAATCCAAACAAATATACCAAGTAAGGTGAATTTTAAATTTGAGCTTCGCGCGTTTAATATTTCGGATTAATTCTTTATTGTTATTTACTGTTATTGACATCTACGCCAAATTTCATGTCAATGTCGTCATTGGTACTTTAGTGCCTTCAGCGATTTCTATAATGTCTGATTGAATTGAGCAAAAAAGTGCGATCAAATTTTGTTTGCGGAACGAATTTTCGGCTGTTGAAACGTTAAGGATACTACAGAAAGCCTTTGGGGACTCAACTATGTCGAAGAAGAGCGTGTGTAAGTGGTACAAAGACTTCATAGAGGGGTGAGACAAGAACGAAAAAAAACACTTCAAAGTCGCTCAAAAATCAAGATCACGTTGACTGTTTTCTGCGATTTTCGTGGTGTGGGGCACTATGAATTCCTACCGCCCGCTCAAAAAGTAAATAAGGAATATTATTTAAGTGTTATGCGTCGTTTGTGTGAAGCAGCTCGCAAAAAAGGCCAGAATTATGGTCCAACAATTCATGGTTTTTGCATCACGTCGCACACAGCACTCATTCTCCGTGAATATTTCGCTAAAAATTCCACGAATATCGTTCCTCAACCATCGTATCCACCGGACTTAGCACCATATGACTACCGGCTCTTCTAAAAACTCAAGAGACCACTTTGAAGACACCGTTTTGAGTCGATTGAGTAGATTAAAAGTGAATCGGCGCGAGTTCTGTAGCCCATTGGAGAAGGCCATACAAAAGCGTTGTCATAAGTGCATGATGTAGATAACTAAATAAAGATTTTTAATTTTACAAAGAAATTCACCTTACTTTTTGTCCATAGTAGTATGTCCGATCGAAACAAAAAAATCAAAGTGCTGCTAGCTTCAATATTAAATTCTCTTCTGTTGGAACTAAAAAACTTGAATAAAAGTGTTATTTAAACCAATTTCAAGTTGTAAACGAATTGAATTTTTCTTGCTTAGAAAAATTTTGGTATGTTCCAAAATCGTAGGTACTTTTTTCGTTTATCTAGAAGAGACATTTATAAAAATTTAAAAAATTTGGTTCGACTGTTTCAGATGCAACGCACGACCTCCATCACTGGCACAGCTAGACGAGTTCAGACTGCAGCCGCTTCAGAAAACTCATTACAACATTGGTAAATTGCAATATTTTTTGATACTAAAAATTGGTTTTTAAAGCTTAAATATAAAACATTATTATCTAAAAACTTCCTTTGCAGCAATAATTTCCTTCCCTTTCAAAAATTACTAAATGTTAACTAAAACATAAAATGTTTGTGTTGAGAGTTAAGTTCGACAGTTGTTAAGATACAGTGCTGTACTATATATATATATATATAAAAAAGTCCATTAACTGTTAAACATTTGCTGACCTACACGTATTTCTGCTATTTTTGCCAATATTATATATACCAGAATTTTTCTTTAATTTCGACACCTCGATGGACATTATGCATAGAAAGCGAGATATGTTTGATAAGGAATGGTCGTATATGTCTCCAAAAATATATCATGCAATGTTTAAAAGTTGGTTTAGTCGGAGAGTTGAACAAAAATTGAGTGCTATATTTTATGTCATTAAATTAATATTTTTCCTCTCATTTTTCGGCTTTGGACGATTTTTTCGAGTGATTTTAAAATATATCGCTTTCTTTTCCCAGCTGAAAATTTAAAAATTGTTGTATTAAAATTTTTGCATAAATTTTTGCATTTTATAATTAATTAAAATATTTAAACTTTTCTGTGTACGTCTTGCAATGATATCACTATTAAATATATATGT